ACCCTCTGTCGGATCCAGGTTTTTGCACATTTCGAAATTAATAAAACATAAAACATATTTAAAAACATTTTCAGAATTGCTGATTCTACTATGAATCCCTTAAGAATAGTTAAGGCTTTCTTAAGTTTCGAAAATCGGGGCCGCTGCTCCAAAAGCAAACAGCTTGCGCTTAGTTTTGTATACAAGTAGAGTCTCGAGACTACCAGTAAATCAATGATATTAGATAAATTCACCTAATTTGTTTAAGGTGAGGAAGGACTAGTAGTAGAATTTTCCCACAATGATATAAGTAGAGCTGACGTTTCCATTGAATTTCACATTGCCTTGCTCTCCCAAAAGTTGTTCTCATCCAAAGTCGACTGCAGTTTCGACCTCGCATCGGTCTTATCAACACCCCCAGCGGGAGTCGAACCGTGACAGTGCAGAATGTGAGCTTGACACGTCAACCACTCGGCCATATTGCCACGAGTGCCGTTGGGTCACAGGGCAGAGCTTAATTTCAAGGAAGCCCAGGCCTTAGCCTGTCACATTCTTTGGTGGGATTATCGATGAAACAAACGTATTTTTGCTATAATAATCAACTACACTGCTTAATTTTTGTATATAAGTAGTGTCTTACACTACCGTTAAATCATCGCCAAAAACGAAATAGGGTGAATACATCCGATATATCTGATTTACCGGTAGTCTCGACACTCAAATTATATAGGAAAATTAAGTAATGTAGTCGATTATTATAGCAAAAATACGTTTGCTATATCGACAATCTCACCAAAGAATGTAATATGCATTGGTTCCCAAACTTTTCCTAGTTGCGGCGCCCTTTTTCAATTAAAATTTTTCCATGATGCCCTACTCTAAGTATGACTATTCGTAAGATATTAAAAAAAAATTAATCTCGTGTATCTTCACAGTTTGGGAATCCCTGTAATATGGAAAAAGGCCTGGCCTTGCTTGAAGTTCACATCTGCCCTGTGACCCAAGGGCACTCGTGCCAATGTGGCCGAGTGATTAACGTGTCAAGCTCCCATTCTGCACTGTCACGGTTCGACTTCCGCTGGGGGTTTTGATAAGACTGATGCGAGGTCGAAACTGCAGTCCAGCCTGGATGAAAACAACTTTTGGGAAAGCAAGCCTCTATGAAATTCAATGGAAGCGTCAGCTTTACTCATAAGCTTACGCTTAGGTTTTCTTGCTTGTAGGTAGCATTCAAGTTTAAATTTTGTTCTTAATGGAATGCAATATGATTAATAATATATGTGGCTTAGAAATGTTAACTTTTGATCAAAATTTGTGGTTTAACATTTAATGAAATCCATGGGTCATATCAGCGTTCGTTACCTACCTGGCAAGCCTTGCATCCCATGGGGTCCGGGCTGCCCCTGAGGGCCTGAATCGCCAGGTGGCCCTTTGTCCCCCGTATTGCCTTGAGGTCCAGTCTGGCCTTTAAGGCCTGGGGCTCCGACTTCACCCTCCTGACCTGGAAGGCCAATCTCACCTTTCGGACCCTGAGGACCTATCGCTCCATCTACACCGTGAGCTCCTTTGTTTCCAGGTTGTCCCATTTCTCCAGGAAGACCTGAGGGTCCATTTAAGCCCTATAAGATATTCAAACTGTTTAGTTAATTTCTGTTTGGATGTTGTGTAGATTTAGCTGGCTTGTTTATACTGCATCAAATAAACAATCCACTTATGAAAAATCATATTATTTGATCCGATCAGTTCTCATAGACTCACGAGAATTATGCCAAGAATAAGTACAGTAAAGTCAGGTTTCTCAAGGGCTTAAACTCATGTGCAACGTATTGGTTTCTTCGTTAAAATAGCCTTAATTACAGTTGAAATTGTTATAATTTCGTTGAATCCATTACCTACTTATGTAGATTATTTACCAGGCGAAGACTTAAATGTCTATACTGTTCCTTGCTGATCTAAGCATACAGAAGGATGTAGAATCCTGGCGGCATTCTAAATATGACAGGAATACCCGCCCCCCTTGGGGATGACATTGGTCATACAGATAGCTATTCAAGTTATCACTGCCAGGTTATAGATATCTGATATTGGGCTTGAAAGGAAAGGGAATAAATTTGAGTGTGCTGGCATGCCATGTGAAATCATACATATTTACCGCCCAGACATCTCAGAGGACGATCTCTATGACCTCATGTAAAGATATATGTGATTTTGAGGTCTAGAAAGAATACTGGTGGCTACCCTTCAGTTTTATGAGATATATTCAGTCTATTTCATTTGGGATTGGTAGCAGAATTTTTCTACAACGATATGAGTAGAGCTGATGCTTTCCATTTAACTGATTAAACAGTTTTCAAGGAAACACTTTCTTCGGTCCGGTGCACTGGCAACCGACGAATGATCGCTGCAGAAAATTCTACCACCTGTCCTTCATCACCTTAAACTAAATAGGGTGAATTCACCTCATATACCTGATATACTGGTAGTTTTGAAACTT